AACTTGGTGTATTTTTGTTGGGATGGTTCTTACAGTACTGAGGCATGTTCTGAACAAGAGTGGCATCCACTAGTTCTTTTCTTTCTTTTCTTTCTTTTTTTTTTTTTTTGAGACGTTTTCGCTATAGGGTGCGTGCGCTCGCCAGACAGACAGAGAGAGACATAGAGACAGAAAGCAAGAAATCACCCCCCAGGGGGGATGGTCACGCCGCAATCCCTTCTCTTCCATTCTCCTCTCAGGATCTTGGTCATACGCTCACACGCGCCGTGAGTTTTAAGCCACCGGGATCCAGGACGCGAACCTCAGTCGACTACGTGGGAGTCCAGCGACATAGCCATTACGCTAACTGCTAGTTCCCTAGTTCTTTTCTTTCTTGTTGAAGGCTTTAGTTAAATTGTCTTAGACATATTTAGAATGGCATTTATAAATGAACTTCTTTACCAAAAAAGTGTAAAAATAACATATCTCAACCTTAGTGAAGGATTTTCTTTTCTTTTTCTCCTAATTTTTTTTTTTTTTTTTTTTTGGTGCAGAGAGAGAACTTTACTCGTAATCCCATCAGCTGAATACATTCCAGTCTTTTCCTATAAAGAGAATTTTGATACAATTGAAATTACAGACCTAAGACATTTCTAAGAAAACTCAAGTTCAGTTAGAGACTTGCTGGTTATGCTCAGAAAAGACACTCTGGCTTCTTTTTAGGGAGGAGTGTTATGTCCTCCCAATTCTGAGCATCGACGTTGTTTGTTTTTGTGATGGAGTGTGGTGGGATGAAGAGAACATTGCCTGGTGCCAAAAGATCCAGATTGAAACCAGATTTTAAGCCTAGGCTCTGCTTCTTCTTTGGCTAGATATTCTTGAAAAAGTGTCTTTGCCTTCCTGGATCTGTTTTGTAACTTTTATAAAGTAGACTATTGGCACATTGGCTTGTTTAATCTGTATTGTGCTCAGCCTTGACACATAGGAAAAGTTTGTAGGAACTCAGGGCTAAAATTTCACGTATATGATTTTTGACTGCAATTTCATTGGCTGCTTTCTACAATTCACAATTGTGGATTGATTGAAGGTATTGCTATCTGTCTTTCTTTATGCTGCTTCCTTTGTATGCTCTGCTCGCTGGTGGCAGAGGTCATTTGCCAGATCATTCAGTCCTCCTCTATTTAATTAGGCCACTCAATTCTCAGGAGACCATGCATGGGTGATAGAGATGGTAGGGTATTAGTCTGTTTAGGCTGCTATAACAAGTGCATTAGGTGCCTTCTAAATAGCAGGAATTTATTCCTCACAGTTCTGGAGGTTGGGAAGTCCAAGACTGAAGTGCTGGCAGACTTGGTGTCTGTTGAAGACCCAGTTTCTGTTCATAGATGGCTGTCTTTTTACATGGTGTAAAGGGAAAGGGGTGTCCCCAGAACCTCCATTATAAGGGCATGAATTCTATTCATGAGAGTCTGCATTCATGGTCTAATTGCTTCCCAAAGACCCCACCTCCAAATATCATCACGTTAGGAGTTGAGTTTCAACATATGATTTTTGGGAGACATGAACAATCAGCCTATATTAGGGAGTGAATGTTCATAGCACAGGAATGTTTACAGTTGAAGGAGCCCTGAGTTGTATGTAGAACTTCACTCCTCTGCTCTGAGTTATCTTACAAGCTGCTTCATTCAAGGGGAAAGGTAAATCGTATCCCCCTTGGGACATTTAGGTGGCTCTTGCCAAACACAGAAAAGTCTTGAGCTATTAACTTCATGAGGTCCCTTGGCATGTTTGTGTGTCTGCTTTGGACCAGACCCAAGGTTCTGCCCTGTATCATATCCGGGCCCCTCCCACATCTTTCCTGGAGAAACCCACACTGAAGGTGCAGAGTGGGGGATCGATGTTTATCTTGGTGGGCCTCACTTGAGCTGGACACTATTGCTCTGTTTGTCCAGACTGAGGAATGCCTATCTGTTTTTAATTGGCCAGGTACTCTCCCCTCTCTCTCTTGGCCTGCCAGTGACTTGAGCCCCTGCAGCCCAGGCCTTGGGATCATAAAGAGAGCAGTACTACCCTTGCCTCCCAGAGTCCAGCAGCAACTGCAGCCAGTTGTGTCTGGCATGCAGATACTATCGGGGCAAAGATCTAACCAATGAGTCGGATGTTCAGCTCTCTTCCAATTGGGGCTGGGGTTCTCTGAGTGTGAAAATATGTACATATTATGTTGAACTCAACTCTAAGGGGGAGAACTCAGCTGTACTTGCTGGTCAGCCCAGGCTGATAAAGCATAGAGTACGCAAGCAAAAATGTAAAGCCAGACGAGTCTCAGATTCCAGTCCCATTACATGCTGGATATGCTCTTGGACAAGTACCTTTACTCTTTCTGTATTGCTTTTATCATTTATGCAATGGGCACATTTTAAAGATTGTGAGGATATTGTTTTTAGGATTAAATGAACATATTAGATTAAAACACCTGTAATTGCTGATATTTAATTGTCCTGAACTATAAAAAGAAGAAAGATTAACAGAGTGATCCAACCATATGTTATTTAGAAACTCTCTTCAAATATAATGGTATAGACATGTTGAAAGAAGAAGGATGAGGGAACAACAGTTGGCATAATGGCTATGTCGCTGGACTCCCATGTAGTTGACCGCAGTTCGTGGCTTAAAACTCACGCCGGGCGCGTGTGCGTGCATGCCCAAGATCCTGAGAGGAGAATGGAGGAGAAGGGATTGCGGCGTGACCATCCCCCTGGGGAGTAATTTCTCACTTTCGGTCTCTCTTTTTGGTGAGTGTACACGCCCTATATCAAAAAACAAACACACAAACAAACAAAAAGCAAATCACCTCTCCAAGAAGAAAAAAGAAAGAAAGAAAAAGGGTGAAAAAAAATCTGTGTCATGAAAGTATCATAGAAAAGCAGTATTAGCTACACTATTAGATGTCAAAGTACTCAACACAATATTAACAAATTGACTAAACCAGTGAGAAAACAAGCTGCTGGATCTGGGACTTGAACTGTGGTTAGCCATGTGGGAGTCCAGTGCCTTAATACCATGCCACTCACTAATCCCAAGAGAACCTAAGAGTTTTAGAGCTAGCAGAAATCACTTGTCCAAGGCCATCTAGCAAGTGGATAGTAGTCCTGGGACTTAAACTTTGACTTCCTGACTCTGAATATAGCGCTTGTTTGAAAAATAAGGACACATAGAGGTATCCTCTGATTCCATTTTTTCATCAACTTTTTTTTCAGTACCCTTTTAGTATCTATCTTATGAGATTTCTCTGAGTATTTGAAGAAATCATTTGTACTGTGCTTTTATGCATGGAACACATTTAGAACAGAGCGAAGCAGACATATCTGTTCTTTTGTATAGTGTATTGATTATGGGGATGGTATACTGGGGCCTGCTACTTTCAAACACTGTCTTCTTAACTCTTGTCATGGTGCTACTGTCACAATTCTCCTACCATTATTCTTTTTCTTTATTTGAGCCACTGAAATATTGGGTTGTCATGAAAGTCATGACGTATTTTTCTATGCAAAATGTGTCATGACTTTATTGGCAACCCAATACAAAGCGGTCTTGAGGGGAGAACAGAATGATTTATAAACCAGCTTTTTAGATTGGGAGGCATATTGGAGACCTAGAAGCTGGCCTGGTTCTGATCTCAGAACTCTCGCTAACAATGTACATGATTGAGAACAAGTCATCGGGTTTATCTGAATCTCATTCTTTTTCATTAATTAACTTCTTCCATGAGAGAGAGATACACATAGAATGAGACAGAAAAGAGAAAGGTAACCCCCAACAGGGTCTTCACACCACAGTCCACCCCCAGTCTCAGCTGGCCTGGATCACAGGGATGTCCATGCCTGGCAGGTATAGGGAGGCCTCAGGTTGTGAACTCAGGACCTTTCCCAGGTGACCCAATTGTGTTACTGCTGTACCATTGCCTGGCCCCTTGAGCCTCAATCTTTTCTGCAGAAGGCTGAGGGGCATGAACTCTGAAATACTCTCCTAAGAGACACAGTGCCTGATCGATGAATAAACCATTTTATCAACATTAATGCCATGGTAGTTTACTAATAGCTGATAGGTACTGACCACCTTTTTTTTTGGAGAGGTTTTTGCTATAGGGCGTGTGCGCTCGCCAGACAGACAGAGAGAGACATAGAGACAGAAAGTGAGAAATCACCCCCCAGGGGAGATGGTCACACCACAATCCCTTCTCCTCCATTCTCCTCTCGGGATCTTGGGCACGCACGCACACACATCTGGCGTGAGTTTTGAGCCACTGGGTCCAGGATGTGAACCACGGTCGACTACGTGGGAGTCCAGCGACATAGCCATTATGCTAACTGCTGGTTCCCTTGACCTCCTTTTCTGTAGCAGTCACCTTGCTAAGCCCTTTGGCCTATTTCCCCCTTGCAACAATCCTATACAGAAGGCTTTATTGTTATTACCATTTTATAGGTAAGAAAACTGAAGCAAAGAAAGGCCATGTGATTTGTCCAAGGCTACATGGCTATTGGATGGCAGAACTGGGATTTGTATCCAGAAAAGCTAGGTACACATGCCAGGAATTCTATTAGCACCATTCGGTGCTGGGCAAAAGGTGACTTAAGAAGAGGCGCTGTGTCCTGTTTGTTTTGTGTCTCCTGTAGACTGACATCTGAAGCATCTTATAGGTCCTCAGTATTTACCATTCTTCTTATTGATCATGATGGTAAGTATATGGTGGATTAAATTGATTTCAGCCTCCTGGGTTGCCAAGCATGTAGCAAAGTTGGACAAATTAAGTTTCATTTTCTTCTGTCGATGTTATGCATGCAAAGAGGGTTCCTGACAGGGCAGATAGTGGGAAGATCCAGAACAAGGAGCAGACGATGAGGCTGCTAGGCATGGGGCTACTCTGCCTTTCCCTCTGCCCACCGCCATCTTTGTTTACCTGGGAGAGTGGTCTTGTCATGTTCCTATGAGGTGAAGTTACACATCTCTGATTTCATTCAAAGGTGCCCGGGGTGTGATAGAAGGACGAGAAGACATGGTCTTACCTGGACTGGAACACTGACAAGTGACTTGCCTTTCTCATATGCTGGTGGCCTTGTCTTAAGCCTAAGCATAAGCCATGGTTGTGAAGTGGCACCACTGCTTGATCTGCTTTGCCTGGCCTCTTCAATTTTCATGCCAATGATGTAGACTCCCCCTAGCAAGGTGGAGAGGTCGCTTATTATTTCCAGAGGAATCATGGTATGGAATGTTGTTTCGTTTTGAAGTTTTCATTTTGTTTTATCTTTAGTTCTATACATTGTAGATAGGATATGATTTTTTTTTTTGAGACAGATTTTTGCTATGGGGCCCGTGCGCCCACCCAGAGAAAGACAGAGAGACAGAAAACGAGAAATCACACCCCCCCCCAGGGGGGATGGTCATGCTGCAATCCCTGTTCCTCCATTCTCCTCTCGGGATCTTGGGCATGCATGCAAACACTCGGTGTGAGTTTAAGCCACCGGGACTGTCTGGGACTCGAACCGTGGTCGACTATGTGGGAGCCCAGTGACATAGCCATTACGCTAACTGCTGGTCCCAAAAGGATATGATCTTTAGAGGTGTTTTCCCAGCTGTTTTAGGAAAAGACCTCTGATCTTGGAGCCAGTAACCTTGAGTGTTCTAGTCTCAGTTTTGCTTGCAGCTTACTGACCATAGGATTGTGATGACTCTCTGGTTCTTTTATGATCACAATATCTGGTAGAGATGGTGGCGACACTCAAAAGACTGAACCAGAAGGCTGAGCCAGGTTAGGGTCAGGGCAAGGGTTGAGTTCTGAGACCTTGATATTATCGATTCTGGCTCTACTGCTGTCATGACTCTCATCCTGCCATGAACAATGAGTATTCGGGGTACACATTCTTGTGGGTGCCCTGTTACATGTTGGTGCCATCACAGAATGAAGACATAATATAGGTGAGTGCCTGGTATTTTCACCCACGGCTCTTTGAAACTGCAACCAGTCTACTGTCTTACAGTTTCCAAGCTGACTCAGTCTAAAGGTGACTGTTTTGGAAACTTTGAATGAGATTGGTTCTGAGACTTTAGTATTATGCAAAGGAAGGGATGGGGGCAGTTAAAAGAGCCTTTGCTTTAGATGTGTTCTGACTTTTACCAGTGAGAATCTGTGAGTATAAGGTAAGAATGAAACATGAGGGGTTAGATGGTGGTGCAGAGGTAACCCACGGTGCTCTGTGAGGCAGTCCCACGAAGGAGGGTTTGTATCAGGAGAGTCCTGAGTACGCTGGGCATGTACTTGCCAGTGATTGAGGGCCAGCTGAGGCTGGGGGTGGATCATGGCGTCAAGGTCCTGTTGGGAGTGCTCTCTTTCTCTCTCTCTCTCTCTCTCACTCTCTCTCTCACTGTCTCTGTGTTCTGTCACTCATGGAAGAAATAAACAAATAAACTAGAAAAGATAAGAAGAGAAAAGAAAAGAAGAAAGAAACATGTGAGAATAACATATTTCTCCAGCCCAAGCAGACACACTTTTTCGTTCTGTCTCATGTGAGATTTCTCTGTCTCCTTCCTCGACACTTTACACTACCCCATGGAAGTGGTGTGCAAATCACAGCTAGCCTGTATAGAGTGCTTACATTTTCCCGGTTCCTCCCAGTGTTCCCTACATTTTAACTCAGATCATCTCATGGAAACTATGTGTAGTAGGTGTAATTGTCATATTTTACTGATAAAGAACTGAGGCACAGAGAGGTTAATTATTTCACCCAAGGCGAGTAAGTGGTTCAGCCCAGATTTGACGTTGGACAGCACCTGGTTCTAGAGTCTAAATTCTTAATTATAACACCCTACCAGCTGTAAAAAATCTCCGAGTTTGTTGACTTTAACCTCTGTTAGTTGAAGGACACTTATACACTACCTATTAAACACCCAAGCTGCGTGTGGGTCATGACTTTGCTCACGAGGAAGACTCTGGCATGACTCACGGAGGAGGGGTGTCCGGGGGTGCGTCAGTAGACATCAGAGTCCAAAAGCTGTCCTGGGTTGAACCGAGCTGTGCTTCTGCCAGAACACTGGCTGGAGAAGGCCCAGGAAAGTACCAAGGGGCAGAGAGGTAACCTGAGAATGCACAGGTCCCCACGCACCTGGGTGCCTGGCCAGGGCTGGCTGCGTGCTCACCTGGCCAGTGCAGGCTGCGTGCTGGGCCTCTCCAGACCTAGTCAGTGGGTTCATTGGTACCTAGTGCTTTGCTCCCACTGGAAATGAAGACTTGGGGCCCGGATCCCCTCACGGTGCTCTGCCAGAGAATGGCCTACATTTTTGTCGAGTGACTCAGGTTCTTTAATTCAGGCTGGCTGACTGGGGACTTGTTTTAGTCATCAGTGTGAACTGGCGTATTATTTGTGCAGCTCTTCAGGCTAGTGTCAGGCCTGTGCTGTGGATTTTCACTGCGACGTGGTCTACAAGGGTAGCCAGTGGCAAGGCAATAGCCCACCTTGTCACTTAGCTGACTTGGTGGGAACTCGTGTGACTTTCCGTGAATGTCTATTCCGTGTGGCGAGGCTAGTGCTTATGTTTCCAGCAAAGTGTCAGGTGCTGTTTGGTCCTCACAGCCCTGCGTGGTAGGTGCCATTATTAAACTCAATTTATAGTTAAAGAGGCATTAAGCGCAGGGAGGGAAAATAACTTGCCCCGAGTCATACAGGAAGCAAATAGAGGAATTAGGGTTGAAACCAAGGCCGTCAAGGGCTGCTATCTAGGTTCTGGACCGCTAGGCTCTCTCACCTGTCCTCAGGCTCTACTGGGGATAACGTGGTAAGGAACACAGGCCCTTCCCTTAAAGGCTGTCTTCTCTAGGTCATGTACTTCAGTTTTTGGTCGTCTTCAGGTTTACCTGAAATTAATCAACAAGTGGAAATAATGCACAGGGTCATTTATAAATAATGCTTCAGGGTTTTGTCTCTGGCTGATTTTTCAAAGGGCTTACCAAGAACACAGAAGACAAAATAGTGAGTCTTTAGAAACTGTTTGTTTAATCCTCTCTTATCATTTATGGTGTAATAATGATGACCATTGGATACTGAGTGCCTCCAGGGAGCTGGAACTTTGTATGTGTTTCTTTACTTTATGCTCATAACTGCTTTCTGGGAGCTGGACTGTGATTATCCCCATTTTATGGAAGAGAAAATTGAGGGGAAGGGATGTTACATAACGCCCCACAGCCACACAGCTAGTAAGTGGTGGGGCTGGCTCAGGCAGTCCGGCTCCAGACGCCGTGTTCTTAATTAACCACCACTCCAGGGTAGAAAGATCACTGGGGTTGGGGTTAGGACGCTCGTACCAGCATGGCCCAAATGTCAACATGTGCCACACTGGCCAAGTCCCAGCTCTGCTCTGGTTCTCACTCATCCATTCAGCAGCTCCTTCTGGTATACCTACTATGCGCCTGGCATTGCTAGCGGTGGACACGTCACACTGATGGAAAAGGTTGGTTCGTGCTTTTGTAGATTTTACAGTTGAGTGTTCAATTTCCTCATCTGTAAAAGATGGAAGTAAAACATGTGAATTGTCCTCATCCTGTTGGAAGCCCAGGCCCTTTTTATTTTTTTAAAATAAATACAACTAGTTATGCCTTCTCTAGTATTCTTTGAAATTTCCAAGTGAATTACCATGGCTAAAAATAAACGAAAACAATTAAAATACTGAGCAATTTTTTATGGGCACTGCACCGGCCCTCATTCTGATTCCTAAGAAGATTCTCCTACGCTGACCACCCCAGCCTCTAATCCCCAACCCTCGGCATTAAAAAACTTTCCGTGAGGAATCACTGGGATGGGATTCTTGCTCTAACAACAAAGGGATCTACAATTAAATTTTTTAATTGCTTTGAAATGCTGGGGTTGTGTCTGTGTAATTTATATTTATTCTTTTACTAAGTTTTGGCTCTTGGATTTGTGTGGCAAATAAAACTTTACTCATTCCTTTTATCAAAATCCCCGTTCCCCACAGGACACAGTTGATGTGAGTCATGAGGTTTCTCAGCATCGGACATGTCCCCGTCCTGGTTTTGGAGGGAACCTTAAGGGACATGCCCATGTTCTGACATGGCGGGCCCCCAGGCTCCTCGGTTAGGGGCCTTGTGAGTTAGATGTGCTTTTGGCTCTAAGAAATGTTTGGGCTGTTTTTACTCCAAGAATTTCATGGGAAAGGATGTTTCACAGACCTCTAAATTCACATGGAAGATTGTGGGGTTGGTTCCCAAGTTACCAGCTGACTTACAAATATCTCCTGGGGTCTAGGCACTGGGGGGACTGGCTTCTCTAACACATGGTCTGGCAGTTGATTGTGTATTACCCAGAGACGCTCTCTAATCGCTTCACAGACTCACCGGCAGGCTCTCAGGGAGGGCCCATTGTGTCTGACAATGAATGTGACATACGCTTGAAGGAGCAGAAAGCAGGCTTCTATAATGATTCTATTTTTTATTTTGTGAGTTCTCATGCATTATTGGACCTCTCTATGGTGCCCAACATGGTTTTCCAGAGCATGCAAGTCACACGTGACAATCAAATCAAGGATATCATCACTTATGTCATTTTCATTTCATTTTCATAATTATTATTAGAAGAATTTATTTTCAAAGTTCAGTTTTTTTCTGTGCACACAAGAGAGAGGAAAACAGGGAACAAAGGGGGCATTTCCAACAGTCCTCACACCATGAGCCATGAACCCTCCCCAGCCTCAGCCAGCTCAGGTAGCGGCTGCCCCTGCACATGCCTGACCTGTAGAAGGAGACCCCCGGATGCAAACCCAGGACCTTCTCGTGTGGGACCAGTTGCATTACCATTGCTCTACCTCTTTGCCCTATTTATTTATTTTGTAAAGCTTATTTGTCCCATTACAAAGCAGAGAGAGGAGAGAGAGAGAGAAGCACCTTCAACAGGATCTCACACCACAGTCCCCCACTATCCTGACTAGCCTGCAGGATCATGGGCACATGTGCCCTTGTGTAGAGGCTGAGATGGGAACTGAACCCATGACCTTCCATGTGAATCCAGCTTGCTTGAGCAGTACAGTACTATAGTGCTGCACCACCTAACCGGCCCTAGAAGGATTTACTTACTTAGGTTCCTAAAAGGAGTAATTAAATATTGTGAAAAAAATACACTTTAATTCAGCAAACATGGAGGCAGACACGGTAAAGGAAAGGCATACGGAGATGAATTAGACCAACGCCTAGCGAGGTT